TTTGTCAGAGTTTAGTGGCTGACTGAGGTAAGATACTTGTTGCTTTTTGTTGTTTTTGCTTGGAGCACTACTTGTAGATTGCTTTTTGTTATATGAAACTTGGGGATCCTTAGAACTACTTTTGTGGGAGGATTGAAAAACTGCTTTTTTGCCGTTTAGTGAGTTTATTGTTACTGGCCTGTCATAGTGAGAACTTTTTCCAAAAAATGCACCTCCTTTAGGTACTATTCAGGGTGCTAGATAACTTTACTTAAGAGCCAGATATCAATTTACTTAGTAAATTTACGAGATATTATTGCAGGAAAATTTTTCTTTCTTGTTCTTGTTTTGGTAGAGTGATCTACAGGAAGAGTTTTTTTCTTACTTTTCCAAATTTAAACAACTTAGTAAATTGTAATTATATATTTTGTTTATTAATAGATATAATATTACTTTATAAAACCAGATTCTTAGTTAAAGAAATATCTAAAAATAATTATATAATTAAAAAGAACTTTATATATTAAGACATTGCTTTAGGCCATACAAATTTAATTACTTAGTTTTCATAACATGAAATTTTAAAAATAGACCCGGCCGGCCAGCTTTTTTTTTTAAACTTCATATATAAAATTTTATAAAATTTATATAAATTTTTTTTTTAAAACCCACCTGGTTATTAAAATATATAAAAATTTTTTTTTAGAAGTTTTCAAATTTTGACCTGGCCGGGTTATGAAAACCAATTAATTAATTTTGCATGGTCTAAAATAGAATTATTTTAAATTTATCTATAAATATAAACTTAGATCAAATCAAACCAAAGCGAATTAAAAATAAATAATACAACCTATTATAATTCAATCTGTATTAATTAAACTTAATTTAAAAAGATACGATTCTACTTAAATAAAATAGATTTCTTCTAAATATAGCTATAAATAAAAATTAACATTAATTAAATTAATGTGAATTAATTAATTTTTTTTTTTTTTTTTGTATTAAGGTGAGGCCTTGTTCATATCTTTATTTGGCAATTTATTTAAGTAGTTATAATAACTACCTAACTTGTATAAGACAAATAAATATAAATTACATACAAAAATAAGAGCTCAGACTAAAAGATTGGTCTGGAATTAACCAAAAACTCAAGCTAGTTATCTGCAATCTAAACCTACTAAAGTGGTCAAGACTCATCTAGATTTGAATAGTTAGTATAAAGTTTGTAGGTATACTGTATTGGATCCATACTTTGAACTACTGTTGAAACTTTTGTTTGGTCTGCCTTTTTGGGGAACAAGTATTATTACCTTCTGTATGTAGTTGGTCTGGCATACCACAAAGACAGCTGTTTGAATTTTATAAAAAAAAAAAAAAAAAAGGATAATGCAATGGATTGTCATTAACATTTGTCTTAATTTTTAGACTGCTGTTATTTTACAGGGAATTGCCGCGCGTATAGCTCGTAAACAAGCCAGTTCTGCTAAAGCAAATACATATGCTAAACTTTTTAGGGATTTTAACTTAATGAGTCTTGAAATTATTGATCGCTATAACGAGTCTACTATTAAAAGCAAATTATAATTTTTACTTTAAATATTGGGTTTATAGTCAATTTTATAGAGTTTATGCTAACAATCTATTGATAAATTCTAACACTAATGACATATATATTGCTAAACACTAAAATACGGAAAGTTGTGGTAAGATAACTGTTGGCAAAATAGCCTGTGAACGAAATGGTTGTTAGCAAATATACCAAAGCCTAATGTTGCAATTTTTTTTTAATGTGTTTTTTGTATCAATAGTAGCTTACATTTTAGATAAAATAGTTTTCTAGTCTTATATCAAGAGCAACTTTTATTGTGCAGTAAATAAAAGAATCCAAATACTGTAATAAATTTATCAAACATCTAGATAAATTGCATATCTAGCAATCATGTATTTGCTTAAGTATTGATATTTAATTATTCAAATTTATTTTTTTAATAATAAAATTAGGGTATGCCTGGTGGATTCCAAGATACATCAGCAAAATATATAAACAAAAACTTACGTAAGTTATTATGATCCAAAATATTGTGCAATAATTACATTCTAGGCAGAATATTTCGAAATAAATTACGAAATATTACAAAATATATTTTGAAATATTATGAAATATATTTCGAACTATAATGTAAGTTAATTTGAATTATTTCGAATTATTTTGAATTATTGCGAATTATTTCGAAATATTGTGAATTATTTTGAAATAATTCAAAATTTATTTCAAAATATTACAAAATATATATTTCAACCTAACATAAGCTAATTTGAAATAATTCAAATTAATTCAAAATAATTCAAAACTGTCTGAAATAATTTAAGTTAAATTTCGAAATATATTTCATAATATTTTGAAATTTATTTCGTAATCTTTCAAATTTTATTTCATAACATTTCAATAAAGTTTACGTAAAATTATGTAAAACAAAGCATAAAAATTTAAAATAGTTTGAATTAATTAGAATTTATTTAATTTAAACTAAATATACTTAGTTTCAAGACAACAAATATTTATAAACTAAAAGTAATTTATTTGATTATATAAATAA